CATTTCATCTAGCAGTGGAGAATGATATGCCTTTGGTGTAGTAGCTCCTCGTGTGACATTCGCCCTTGCATGGAACAGCCACCAGGGAGATGTCAAGTGGCTGCATGCAGATCTATACTCTGGAGACAATCCCACCAGGTTCATCAAGCATATATCAGCTCTGGCCAAAGCACTGTCTCTTAGGAGGAAGAAGTGGAACACCCAGCACTGAGCATGAGCGGAACAAGAGCTCCCAAGTGAGATGCATGAGGAGCGAGGTGAGCAGACCCCAAGACAGCTGCACCTGAATCCTTACACAGAAAAGAGGGGTTAAGGTTGCAAAGGGAATCAGTGTGGCTAATCGGCTGACTCTGAGGCAGCTCAGTCATCTTGAACATCCAGGTGGGCACAATATAGTCACGACAACCCTTAAAAGTGAGAATTGGGAGGATGGGCGATTCAGAGGGAGATGTGACTGGAGAAAGGCACGGAGTTGGAGGGTCACTGCTGGAACATGCAGGAAACACACTTCCTTCCAGGTCCAGGAGGGAGCTCAAGTCCTGCAGTGTCTTGACTGGGCCACCGAGACCTGGGTCAGACTTCTGGGCATCCGTGGACCTGGGAAACAGGGCAGGCACTGCGGGTCCTTCACTCCAGAGACACAGCAGGGAGCTTGTGTCCCCTGTCCGGACCCCCTTCCTGTTTCCCAGTGCAGAACTGGGCAGGGTGAGACGTGCTGCTTCCCTTCGGGGGACACTTCTGCCAAGGGACCGAGGAGGAGTCCACTGAAGCCCAGCTACAGCTCTGCCTGTCACTCTGAGGACTCCGCAGGATGAGCCAGCTCAGCTGGGCAGGTGGGACTGCTGGGACCGTGAGGGAGGGAGGAATGCATTTCCCGGCCAGTGGAGGCGGGGACCCTCTTGCACCCCCTTGCCTGATATGAATAGCAAATTGACAATGGCACAGATTCTAGCCTGAGGACAGCCTGACAGACAGGGTCTCATACCCTGCAGAAGGGAAGACTTGGGCCTCTCACCAGGGATGACCTAACTAACAGCAGGATAAACACTAAGTGAGGACAAGGGGAATGGAACCAACAGCAGATTGGGGAGTGAGTAAGAACCATCCCCAAACCCACTGCGGCTGGGAGTCTTCCCACTCTGTCTCCTCTTCTGAGTTTCCCCCAGGAATCCAAGCAGCACACGAGAGCAGTGAAGTGCAGGCCAGATTCTTCTTCAAAGAAAGACACTTCACGGCTCTGGGGATGCTGCTGGGGTCGGCCCTTCCAGAGACGACCTTGGTGACTCCACATCACACCCGCGCCATGACTGACCGAACACTCCCGTTGGATAATTTGCAAAAAGACTCACACAACTCAGAAAATCATTATATTTGTGGCTGTGGCTTATATAATGAGGTTACAGATTAAATCAGCCATAAAGAAGGATAAGCTTGAGACATTTCTAACCAAATGGATGCACCTTGAAGCCATACTCTTTTTTTTTTTTTTTTTTTGGTGCCGGGGATCGAACTTGGGTCCTTGCACTTGTGCAGCAGGTGGTGAAAAAGTGAATAATTTCAGGCTTTTTTTTTTTTCTTTTTGGTACCAGGGATCGAACTCAGGACCTTGCGCTTGCACAGCAGGCAGCGAAACCACTGAGCTAAATCCCCGGCTGAAGCCATACTCTTAAGTGAGGTAAATGGGACACAGGTGTATATATACCGCATTGTTTCTCCGGTGTGAGAAACCAAAAGTGTAAATAAGGACCAAAATGTACAATAGATATTGGGGAAGTGGGAAGAAAATGTCCAAATGAGACAGGGAACAAGGGAGAGGGGGGAGAAAAAGGAAAGAAGGGACAAGAAAAACAAAAAAGAATAGAAGAAAAAATGGAAACAAAGCTTTTGTAAATAAAGAGGGGCTGAAGGGAGCAGAGGGGAATGGGAAGAAAAGAACCAAGATACATCATGTACAGGTACAAATTCCCTGTGTTGGGTGTTACTATTATGTATATCTAAAATGTACTAATAAAATAGAGAAAAAATATTTTAAAGATTAAATAAGCAAAAGGGTGGGAATTATTTCAGATATGCAAAGTTGGTTTAACTCAAAGAATCTATTAATGTAACCTGTCCCATCAACAGGCTAATGAAGAAAAATTGCGTGATCATATCAACGGATACAGAAAGAAGCATTTGACAAAATTTAACATCTGTTTATAAAAACTCTCAAGAAACTAGGAATACAGGAGTTTCCTCTGTGTTGATAAAGAACATTCACAAAAAACCTACGGCTAGTGATAAAAAGGGAGTTACATTCCTGCTAAGATCAAATACAAGGCACAAATGCCTGTTCTTACTATTCCTGTTCAACATCTTACTAAAATCCTAGCTCATGTAAAAAAGCAAGAAAAATGAGTAAGATTTGAGTGAATTAAGAAAGAAAAAATGCTTTATTTGCTGCTGACATGATTGTGCATGTCCTGTGTACAAGATTCCAAAGGATCAACGACAATGACAAACCCTCCTGGAACTAATGTTTGACTGTCTTTGATCGCTTCTGCTGCTTTAACAAAATACCATACTTCAGACTGGGTTATCTATGAACAGCAAAAATGTTATTGCTCAGAGTTCTGGGGCCTGGGAAGTCCAAGATTGAGGCCTTGATTTCACAGTTTGGATCTGATCCACACAACATGAATGAATCTTTAGAGCACTGTGCTCAGCAGAAAAACCTAATCCCAAAAGATGAAAAGTGCCTGATTTCATTTACATGACAAAATCATAGATATGGAGAAGGTATTAGCAGTTGCAAAGTCAAGGACAGGATGAGAGAGGAGGAATGAGTGAACGTGGCTATAAAAATACAACATGAGGGGTCCCTGTGATGATGGGAATGTATATGGTACAGAACATGCATATTGTACAACATATGGTACCATGGTGTTGTACTGACAAAGGAGAAAACTTGTAACTATTTCGTATCTTGTTCCATATTAGTAATACTGTTACTGTAGTTTTGTATGTGTAGTTTTAAAAGACGTCACCATTAGGTAACATGGGAAAAGTGGGTACATAGATCTCTTATTACAACTTCGTGTAAATGTAGAATTATTTCCAAATAAAAGAATGTACAAAAGGCTTCCACTTGGAAACCGAGCGCAATGCTGCAGGAAGGCCAGTCAGCGACGGGAAGGGCCAAGTCTGAAGCCCGCTGAGCTACCTTCGAGGGACCAGCGGGGTGGACCCAACCAAGGTCTCAGGGGGCTCAGGCTTCGAGTGTAGAAAAGCCCGCCCCAGACTGCAGCTTCGCGTGCAAAATACGTTTGCTGTGTTTGTAGCCACTCACTTCAAAGCGGTTTATCACATAGCAATGGGTATCTGGAAAGGAAAAAAAGGGACTCTTGCCTATGAACATTCCACAGAAACAGAAAAGAATGGCTTTTTGGTTGAAATTTGGTGTTAGCAACGGCGACTTTTTCTGAAGTGCCATCAAACTATACCTCTGAAGAGTTCACGGCTAACTTCACTGGAGTCAGTCTCCGTCTGCGAGGGTTAGCAGAGCCTACTTACGCCCAATTACAAATCGAGCATGTCGTTTGGCAGAAGGTTCCTGTGTCACTCAGGGTGACACAATCGCCTTTTATAGGCGATTTGAGAGTTTGGACGCTGACACGGAAGGTCACAGATTTTTAGGTGTTTATGACACAGGTTATTTGAAATTAGGCTTGTCTTGGAAGATCTAAGAAATGTATGTGAATATGTAGTTATTATTGATTTATAATTATAAACGATCATTTCCAAGTGGGTCGTTAGCACTGTAAATTAGACGGCTTATGAAAGCAGGTGAGCGGCACCTGGATACCATGTGGTAAGTACAAGATACATGTGGTAAGATCGATTTCTTCCTGACTCACATTCATGCTTTCCCCGCTTCGGCGTCTTCAAAGCATAAAACCGATCACACGATACGATGGAAAACAGATTTCACAGAGCCAAGCCTCACTCCCTGGCACACGATCTACATTCTTCCTGCATCCTGTCTTGGGTCTCTGTGATAGATGCTCTCAGTATTTACGCTGGTTGCAGCTCCGGGGAGACAATCTGCGCCGCTAGGGCCCGGGATGTGGCTCAGTGGTTCCGCCGCCTGCCTCGCCAGCACAAGGACCCGGGTTCGACCCCCGGTACCAAAACAGAAAATCTGCATCGCGGACAAGATGAAGGCAGCCCTGGGCCAGCACGGCCCCTCCGAGTCGTTCTCCTGGCTGACTGGTGAGACGTTTGCCCAGCGGCGGTGCGGGAGCGGCGGACGCGTCTCAGCTCTAGGTCCGGCCGAGGGCGGGAGGGGGCCAGAAGGGGAGGGGCAGGGGCAGGAAGCGGCGGGGAAGGG